TTGTCATTTTTAGTTGTTCTAAGTTATTGGAAAATAATATTCTGAAGGCCAAAATTCCCGATTTTATGAGTTATAACTCAAGATCTTTGGCCATTATTAATTGTTTCTACTCATTGGCAATTAATTTTTTGAAGACAAATTTTAGCATTTCATGAGATATAACCGATGACTTTTTACGTTTTTTAGTCATTCTGAGCCATTGATAAATAATTTCATGGAGGCCAAAATTTACAATTTCTTAAATTATAACCCACAATTTTCAGTCATTTTTAGTCGTTCGGTCTCATTACCAAATAATCTCGCGGAGATTAAAATTCATGATTTCATAAGTTATAAACGACTTTTTATCATTTTCGGTCATTCTAACACATTTGCAAATATTTTCGCGTAGGCCAAAATTCATAACTTCATGAGCTATAACCCATAATTTTGAGTAGTTTTTATTACTCTGAGTTATAGCCAAATAAGTTCATAGAGGCCAAAATTCACCATTTCACAAGCTATTGACCATGATTTGTGGCGATTTTCATTGCTCTGATCCATTAGAAAACAATTTCACAGAGAAAAAAAATAACAATTTCATAAGCTATAACCAATGATTTCTGACCATTTTTAGTTGTTCTGAGCCACTGACAAATAATATCTCGGAGGTCAAAATTTAGGAATTCATGAGCTATAACCAATGATTTTTGTTATCTTTAATCATTTTGACCCATTGACAATTAATCTTGTGCGGGCAAAAATATGCATTTTCATGAGCTATCACTCATAATTTTCAGTCATTTTCAATCATACCAACCCTTTCACAAATAATTTCTCGGAGACTAAAATTTATGAGTTCATGAGCTATAAGCCATGATTTTTAATCATTTGTAGTCTTTCTAAGCCACTGCTAAATAATTTCGCAGATGCTAAAATTTACGGTTTCATGAGCTACAAATCAAGATTTTTGGCTATTTTTAGTCATTTCTACCTAATGGTAAATAAATTGCAGAGGCCAAAATTTCCTATTTCATGATATATATCACACAATTTACAGTCATTTTAGTCGTTCCAAGTCATTAGCAAATAATTTTATTGAGGCCTAAATTCAAGATCTCTGATCTATAACCCTTAATTTTTGAACATGTTTAGTTGTTCCAAGTTACTAACAAATAATTTCATGGAGGACATTCATGAGTTATAACCTATGATTTATTGCTTTTTTTAGTCATTCCAACCCATTGGGAAATAATATCACGGACGTAAAAACTCATGATTGATCTGTAACTAATAATTTGTGGTCGTTTTAGTCCTTCCGACCCACTCACAAATAATTTTATGGATACGAAAATTCACATTTTCTTGAATTCTAACCCATATTTTCAAGATTGTCGCCCGGTAAAAAATAGATAATAGATGTTGCCCTCTTAACATTCTCGGTCATGCCCATAGGCTAAGGGTGAAACTTTTCAGAAGATTGAAGCCAGAAGTTGGGACCAAGTTACTCTTAAAGCAGCTAACTCACCCATGCATATATCTGGACTAGTTGAGATGCACGTGCAATGTACACGGTTAAATATCATAATTATTTAAATTGATAAAAATAGAATAAAAATAAAAAAGAAAACAAAGTTTTTTGTGGGATTGATCATCAACTCAATAAGCTCTCTCTCAAATAAAATACTGTCATTGTTTTCTTTAACCCAGACTGTGGTCACATGATCTACTATTTGAGAGTTATAAACACGTTGATCTAATACAATATCTCTGTTTGTTAGTGTTTTGAAGTCTTTAAAAGATGGGTGATCATTCAATTTGCAAAAAATATTACATATGAATTTACTTGTAATATGTCCATTAAACTTTAAGTTATGGTTTGACCCATATTCACATTAACTTTTAGTTATGATCTCACTCATATTTAGATTACCTAATATTCTCATTCAATTTTACAGCTCATTCTCCGAACCATAGAAGTAAAAGTATGAAGAATTATTTTCTTGCGAAATTAGAGCAGGGAAGATTATGATATATTTCGTCATGTGCTCTAAATCTAAAAATATACTTTTTTCTTTGATGCAATGTACCTATCAAATCTTGCCCCAAACTATGTGAACGAAAAATTCTATTATAACTCACTTGCTGAGGGCAATTATATTGTATATAGGATATATAACTCATCTGGAATATCCACATCTGCTAAGTGGATTTTATTGTTGTGAGAGCAAAACGTTAGAGACTCGTATTCAAATATTTTGGCTCTATAAAAAAACATAAAAATTTAGAGTGCATAGCTTATATATTGTAAACAACATGCTCGTTCATGAAGAATTTTACCTAATAACGATATTATTACAACCATATTACTATTTAGTATTAAATCAATTTTATTATATAATATTATATGAACCTTTTTAATAAATTATAAAGTATATATATAAAAATTTCGATGTTTATGGCCAGTAGTTAGGCTCCACAAAATAGGTTAACTTTACATTGTAGTTTGTTATTGGTAGTATCGTTGGTAATGCCATTATCTTTCATCTTTATCTTATTATTCATGTTTTTCTAATGTAAGACCTCTTTTGCTAATCACTCAATTGGCTATATTTAGTTTTTATAATATCAGAGGTTAGAATATTATCTTCTATTTAAAAAGTATTGACATGGTTTTCTTAAAAAATATATTCATATAGTAGCAATAGTATATATTTCAGTTCAACTCAAACATTGGCTTGAAGCCATTTAGAGTGAGGTCCTTTCTACGCTAGAATATGATATAATGATTACACATTCCAAAAGTTAAAGAAGAAATTTCTACAAAGAAAAAGTAATTTAATATGTTAAATTAACAACTAATTTATAAACTATACATGAGCAGTGTAGATAGCTATACAGAGTAAGGTATACATCTTCATGAAAATTCCATAATGAGTGACCAACTACAACTATCTTAATTTAAGCATGAATAATTACTATTTTAGTTACTAATTTAGTACGTGTACTATGAAATAAGTCTTAAGCAAAAAATAAGAATTGAGATTGTATTATCCTGTAGGTAAATAAATAAATATTATTAGAGCTCCTCTTTATATTAAAATTAAAAATAATAATTTAAATTATTAAGCGTCAAATATTAGTTCATGCGAGAAAATAAAATAATCTATGGTCTATATATCTATATAGTCAATCAATCAAACATATTAAAATTATGACAACCATAGTTAAAATTATATGATGAGTTCACATTAAATATAATTTATAAAAAATAGTACACTAAAGTCAAAATCATTTTAACCACTATATATATTGTCTGAAATTTTTTGCATATATAAACTATACTGCCTAGGAATAGTAATGTGTGGCCTAATACATCTTAAGAACGACTTACTCTTCAATATCATCGTTAATTGGTGTATCTATGCATTACATTGAAAGCACAATAAAAATTAGAAAACTATAAAAGAAACATCCTCAAAAGTTTTAAAAGTTATAAAAAACATCCTAAAATTTTATAATTTATAAATACATAAAACTATTAAACATTATATTAAAATCAAGAAATTACAAAAAATTATTGAAAATTTTTAAACTTTGGAGGGGTAATTTGCAATGTACTAAACTTTAAGGGTGTTTTTTTTATAAATTTCAAATTTAATAGATTTTTAATTAGTTATGTTCTTTCCAAAAACGTTATGGATAATATTGACCATGAAATTTTTTTTCCTAAACATATACTTTTAAAGGGAGCATGATAGTTTTTGGAAATTTTTAATTTTTTAGAGGTTGTTAGTAATTTTGTATATTCATTTTAGTGTCTATAGGTTAGAAATTCTCATGGTGTTTTTTTGTAAATTATGAATTTTAGGGGTTTTTTATAATTTTTTAAACTTATGTCTTTTATACAGATTGTAAATTGTTTATAGACTATTTATAATTCCTATGTTTTCAATATACTAATAAGTTTGAAATTCTCAAGGTGTTCTTTGTAATATTTGAATTTTGAGTGTTTGTTTGTAACTTTTGAAACTTTAAGGGTGTTTTCTATAAATTATAAATTATGTAGGGGATATTCATAATTTCTATATTTTCAATGTATTGTTTGGTTAGAAATTATTATGATTTTTATAAATTTTATAATTTTAAGGGTTTTATTTTGTAATTTGTAAAAAGATTTAGAGTGTTTATTACAAATTTTATAAATTTTCAAGGGTTGTTTGTGTTATTTGTAGGTTTTTAGTGTGTTTATAGGTTTAAAATTTTCAAAGCGTTTTTTACAAATTTTGAATTTTTAGGGGTGTTTTTATAATTTTTAAAACTTACGATGTTTTTCAGATTTCTCACTGAATTGAAATAAGTAAAATTTATAATTTTTAAGATGTTTTAATAAAATTTTAAATTTGTAAGGGTATTTTTGCTATTTAAAAAACTTGGGAGAATTTTTTATGCAAAGTCTAAAAACTTTTAGATGCTAGCTAGCATATGTTTTTTAGATTTCTCTGTGAACTGAAATAAGTAAATGGTTTGAATTATATCAAACATATCTCCTTTATCCAATAACATGTTTAGTCTCGTTATGAATAAAATAAATCATTTAATTACCAATTCAAAGAATATAGAATAATTAGAATAGATTGTGATAACAATATAACATTCAAAAAAAATTAAGGATAATATTAACAATGAAAAGATTTTCCCGAACTCAGTACTTTTAAAGAGAGTATGATATGATCTTTACAGATTTACATGTAAATGTTTTTAGATTTATAGGTTAAAATCAGTTTTTAACTTCTTGAAATTGATAGCAGAACTCTACTAACCCAATGACAGCTGGATAACACGTACGTAATCAGGTTGGTTACGGTATGCTCCTCATCGCTTCCTCCAACTTTTGATTCCACAATTACACTCATTTCATCTTTCCCATTGTAGGGCCCCTTCATATGCATCCCCACCTCTGTTCTTCTGGCAACGCATCAACTCAAAAGGCCCTGAATCCATCTCAACCAGAAAAAAGCAACCTAAAACCAAGTGTCGAAACACTTCATGGAACCTTCAGCTGTACTGTACTTTTACAGAAATCAAGTTTTGACTTTAAAAAACAATTATTTTGCGAAATATTCATTTATTTGCATCAAAGCAACGACCCTGACTACTCTAATTGACTCAATTAGACTGGAACAAGACCAAAAAGTTCCAGACTACAGCTTTCAGTATTGAACAACAACAACCAATTAATTCACCAACGCTGTCTAGTTGACATCGTGGAAAGAATCAATGATGGCATCGGCGAGGTAATCGCACTTGGCCAGAGACAACCCAGCCAAAGAGATCCTACCGTCCTTGGTCATGTACACGTGCCATTTGTTTGTCATGTTGTCACTCTGGTGATGCAACAAGAAGCAAAACTCAGAAAATCGGAAGGGGGGAAAGGAAAAACAAACAGTTTACCGGATGAATCTTTGCCAGTTGGGGAGTGAGTTACCTGTGCTTTATTCAAGCCGGTGAAGGAGAACATGCCAATCTGCTTGAGAATAAAAGACCAATCTTTTCCACTCTTATCTTTCTCAGAGAGGCTGTCAAAGAGTCTTTGTCTCACATTCTTTATACGTCCTGCCATTTGTTCCATCTCTGCTTTCCATTCGTTGAAAAGAGTGGAGTCTCCAACAACATTAGCAACTATTCTTGCGCCGTGAACAGGAGGATTTGAGTACATAGGCCGAGCGATCCTTTTCAGCTGGCTCTTGACCCTGAGTAACCAAAACATAATAAAAATTATATATATACAATGTGACACCAATGCCCATGATGAAATATGTCTATACAAAAGGAAAGGATTTCAGAATAACTCAAGAGTTGTTATGATGGAAATCTCTTAGGAAATAAATTAATTCACCAATTTTAATTTGAACTTAATGGCATGCATCACTTAAAATTTTACTAAAAGAGAATTTCTGTTTAAACTGTTTGACTTGATCAAAAATAGAATAGCTTGAGCTTATTAATAAAAGCCACCCAAAAGAATTTCCTAGAATTGGCCACTGGCTAGCATCTGGACTGGCTAAGGAAATCTAATTTACTTTGCTTAAAATCTATTAAGAGAACACTAAATAAGGAAAAAAACAGAAGGGAAAAAAATAAATAAATAAACAAGACAGGAAAATTACGATGAAATAAAAAGGACGGAAAAAATCACAGGTAAGGATAAATGAAAGACTGAAAGTAATATATTTCTTGGAAAATTATTGTATTAATTTCACATAAAGACCTCAAATGCAATTCTTTCTTACATTTGTCTATTTATTTTTTATTAATATATTCACTTGTGCGCGTGTGTATTTTTTTTCAGTCTGCAACTATGCCCATGTTGCCTCTGTACACCTGATAGCCAACTGACCACAGCAACAACTTCAGATTCCTGAAAGCTATATATTTGAACAACTGAACTTCAAAAGAACTTTCAAGCATAAGAAATTACCTAGCTGCAGCATCTGAGGATGCACAAACAACATTGATGGCTCCAACCCTTTCAGCATACAAGCCCAGGTTCTTACTGTATGACTGGGCAACCAGAAGTTCCATACCACGTGCAACAAACAATCTAACAGACGATGCATCAGCATCAAGGCTTCCGCTAGCAAATCCCTGGTATGAACTTAATGGTTAGCTCATGCATTACCCACAGAAGAGTCAGAAACATGGTACCTGGTATGCCACATCAAAGAAAGGAATGTGGTTTTTTTCTTCGATAACATCAGCAATTTTCTCCCACTGTTCAGGAGTTGGGTCTATGCCAGTTGGGTTGTGAGCACAACCATGTAAAAGGATAAAAGATCCATCTGGTGCAGCCTAAGGAATGCATTTGTTCATTAAAACACTATAATAAAATCCAGTCATTTCCTTTCCAGGTCCAAGAGAACAGGAATTGTGTATTGAATGCAATCAATAGATTCCACAAAATAAACTGAAAATAAGAATCAAACATGCAATAAAAGCTCCAGCTGTAAGATAGCAACAGAGGCTGAGAAAGCGAAAAATGTAAATCAGTTGTGGAACTAGGAGAAATTGAAACCTGTTAGATATCTGTCAGAAAGTTGATAAGTTTTAAGAGATTCAAAAACCAAAGAGAATTTCAAAAGGTTGAAGAATGGGAAAGGTGGCTCATTCAAAATCATTTCCATCCACAGTGAGAACCCTAAGAGTTTATAGTAACCAAAAATGCTAGATGGGAACAAAAGATAGGATCCTGGTATCAATAGTCATACCTTTATATCTGCTATCATTCCATCAAAATTCAAACCAACAGTTCTAGGGTCATAGTATCGGTACTCAGACCAAGGCACCCTGGCATCATTGAAAATGTTCTTGTGATTACCTGTTCAAATGCAAAGAATTTTGGTAAGGAAAATTCAGGATCTCTTGCAGAATCAGCCAAATGAAAGTTCAAGCAGCTTATATGCTTACCCCAAGTCGGAGATGAAATCAAAACTTTTGCATCAGGGAAATATCTTTGTATAAATGCTGCAGCAAGGCGAAGGGACCCAGTCCCAGAAAGACTCTGAACAGTGGCAACCTAATAACAGAAGCAAGCATACCCATAAGCAGCAGGAAGAAAACCTGATTTTACTTGTGTTTACACTAACTAAACAATAAACCTAAAACAAATCAAGGAACAGTATTACATACTCTTCCTTGTTGGATGGCTGCATTGTCAGCTCCTAACAACAACTCTGCAGTAACCTTATTAAATGCAGCCAATCCTTCAATAGGTAAATACTGCAAGACAATGGGTCTTTTGGTCAGCAAGGAATCACAGATGGGATGTATTTCACAAAATTCAATCAGTCTTTTCGAAATACCTCTTTGTTGTCACCTTTTTCCAACATAAGATTTTCTGCCTGCATGATAACTAAGTCATTAAGTATATGTAGCACCTACTTCAATAGTCCATACTGGAAACATCTCTTCTTCTTAATGTAGTAAGAATCTAAGATTATCAAACATCTTGTCTGAATATGTGCATACATACCTTTTTAACAACATCCAGCACATAAGGCTGGAGTTCTTCTGTTCTGTAAGCTCCCACCCCAAGGTTGAGCTTCATGTCACTTGTGTCTGCTCTGAATGCTTCCGAAACCCCAAGAATTGGGTCTGGTGGAGCCATAGTCACTCCCTCAAAACGAGAAACATTAACCACAACAGCCATTCGTACTCGTCCAGAAGACTGCCAAACAAAATTAGCTAGATTTATATTTCCATGCAAACTTAATGCAAAATTAGAGATACAGCATACAGCTCTGCATTATTTGTCACGAGGAAATTTGCAAATATATTGAGTTATGTACAAAACAAGAAAGAGTACAATATTTGTTAAACAACTCTCTGCTTATCACTGGTCTTCTTAAACAACCCTTCTTCCATCTTTTGTTCCTAAGGAACAGTGTCACATCAGCATATCAAATTTTTTTCAGAATTGTTTGTCACGTATAATTTAACCAGATGTTTCATCCTTGTTCAAAATTCTACACACCAATTTGAGCCCTTCGATTTACAAACCAAACTTTTAGTGTGTAATCATCATTATCATCAATGCAAGCTGATCAAACACGGCCCAACATGACTCAATATTGAAGTAAGCTCAAGAATCGACTAGACTTGATCACCGGATAAAGGTCAACTCTCCATGAGTTAGTAAATTTTCCTAATCAAAGAGGGCAAGGGACGGCCTTGTGATAAACGAGTGAACAAATTGATGCTAGAAGTTCAGCTGTATCAGTTGTATAACTTAAATGCATGCAAGCATGACGACTTATAACCAGCCTTAGACTGTGAACAAACAAGCAAGACAATAAGTTACTAGTTGTGAGTTAACCAGTCCCTAAGGCCAAATTGAGCCAAAGAGCAAAAAAGCAATTGCATTCTAATATCCTTATACTATACAGGATAAGAAAAGTATGTCATGAGATATCAGCTTGATTTGCTTTTGAACTCAGAAATTTTTTACAAGGACAGATAAACATTATGAATAAAATTCAGAGCTGCCAAGAGAAGGAAATAAATAGGACATGAGAACAGAGAAAGTTTAGAGATGCATAAGTGACAGAAGATGATTGCACCATTCAAGCACTTGAAATTCAAATCACATATTTGTGGTTCAAACACCTTCTTGTTGCCAATAAAGCGTTGGGTTCTTGGGAGACTCCTTTCTTTCCTCCCGACCCCTTCCACCATCGCCACATTCCTCTTTCCCCAAAAAATAATAATAAAACAACCTGACACACAACGTGAACTAGGTTCTCTAACACAACCATTTTTTCAGAAATTTGTTATATCAATCTTTACCAGTAATCAACACCTGTCAAAAGACAAACATGCCGTTCCACCATAATCAGTTTCCTATTTGCAGAAATCCTTAAAGAACAGATATTAACTATGTTGCACAGGTACGGATATGGATAGCGGCATGGGTATGGGACACGGTAAATTTATAAAAAGTAGGGTACAACACAGCTATATAAATATTTATATACACATATATTATGTATTGGAATTAATAATTTATATGGGAACAAGGACAAATTTCCTGTAACATAAAAATATTTCTTTTATTATGTGGATTATAAATTGGAAAATCACTAGTTTTTTAACTAGACATTCAAACAACCCTTCAAAATCATAATTCAGAACCAGACCTATGTCTAATAACTCTCAAGAAGTGAATGTTTAAGTGTAGGATATACATCAAAAAAATGTATGACAACTATTTTAAATTAAAATATGTAGTGTATGATTGAGTACATGATTGAACGAATGTATGCATACACGTAAGGAGTGCCCAAGAAGTTTGGGTACGGGTATGGGTACATGTCCGGTACGAGTATGGCTTCAAATTACAAGTACCCAGGTGACATCGGATAATGACCATACTTCTATGTCTATTTTGAATACTCATTTGCATCGCGTGGAACTCAGTCAGCATCCCAAGCTTTAGAGCCACAACCATAAATGTTACAAGTACCATCATCTAGGAGGAAACACACTAAGAAGAAACCTAACGCCAGCAACAGCATAATGAGAAGTTGGCTTACATAATTTTACTCTTTCAGGTGCCACGATCATTATAGTTAAGACTGATAGTAGTACTCTGGTAAACGTGTGACAGCATGAGCAAGCGGTCAGTCGAAGTCGGAAATTCGTTACATGAGTCCATACTTTTTCTGGTCTGAGGGCAGAAGCTCATTGTTTAATAAGAGATCACGTTCTGATAAAAGACATTGAAAGCCATCCATAATAATGAGCAAAGGAAGAGATGGCCCAATGTCTAAGACGAGCAGCCAACAAGGTTTGTCCTAAACCATGAAACTCAATCTCAACCCATCTCTTTATGATGCAACTTTATGAGATTCTTTTACTTTTTTTACCCGAAGGAAGTTATAAATCACAGTTCTAAACTTCTAATGCTGTTGCATTCACTTGTATTAGCCTTTCTGGTTCTACCTTTCGCTCTTCTAAACCCATTATTATTACAAAATTTTAGCCCCTTTCTCAAAAAGTACAAGTGAATTGCTGGAAGCCAGGAAAATCTTGAATTTATCCATTCCACTTTCTTTAGGCATTGAGATCCCAAAGTTAAAACTTTATCAGCTTAGGATCTAATCCACCTCCAGTTTATGACATCATAGTAAATAACATAGTAAATAAAAGACTAGGAAGCAACTGGCAACTTGCCAACTTCCATATTTGTCATAACCTTTGGAGAAAACATAGTAAACTAGTAATTACTAACTTTAAGAAAATGTTAAAGAACAAAATCCAGCAAGTTTCGGCTCATTAATCAACCAGTTAAACAGTCAAAAAGCAATCTTTTCGCCAATTACCCAATAGAATCACATCTGATAAAATCAATTATAATCACAAAACCCTAACTTTACCTTCCCCTTTAAAAAGAGATCGCCGCTCTTTTTCCTCCCAAGCCCAATCTTCTGCTCAAATTACACAATTCTCTCATTTCCAGTGACCAACTCATGATCCAAATCAAAAATTAAAACAAAGGAACAAAACAAACTGATACCTTAGGATTCTCTCGAAGAGCAACCACCGGCGACGCGGCGGTCGAAGTAAGGCCAAGCGAGATCATCGAAGCCATGAGATCTGAAGTCCTCAATCTGAAATTTCAAGAAACTTGAGGGATCAGACTGTAAAATCAACTAGAAACGGAACGAAACGATAAATTTAGAGGGAGAAAACCCACTGAAATGGAAAGGCGAGCGATAATATCACCGACAGTGGCGGGTTTTTAAGTAGGAAAGGGGTGAGAAAAGAAGGATCGGCGGTGATTGGATCGCGACGTTGTTGTTTTCTCCGCATGACGAAGGGAGGTATTATAGTGTACTGCGGTAGGTTTAAGGCTACGATGAACCATTGACGGAGGGTACGATGCGTGGAGGAACACCTCGTGCCGCATGCAGCCAAGGTAACCCGACCTGCTGGCGTGCACGCCCGTGTCACGTGCATGTTTGAAGTCAGAAATAAGGCCCAAAAGCTTCTTCTTCTTCTTTTCTTTTTTTTTCAACCTTTTTGACAGGAGTGCCCGAAAGCGTAATATCTAATATGCACCCCCAAACTTTATGAACGATATATGTAGGGTCCAAAAACATCTCTCTTTTATGTGGAGAAGAGTGCCAACTAGGTTTACTAAACTAATGAGCAATTAGTGTATCAAAGAAATCATAAACACATCCAAATTGAATTATTTTATCCCCATATTGTAATGGGAGATGTCTTATTCATGAGAGGATTATAATCTTTTTTTAATAAATAAAACATATCGATCAATTGTTGAGTTACTATTATTGTTGTGATGTATAGAGGAATACATTACACGTAAAGAAGAGCTTCACCTAGAAGAAATTATGAGTTTCACATCATTACATGAAAGGATTATGATCTTTCTTTAAAAGTAAAATAAAATAAAAACTGCTTCACCAAAATAATATTTACAACTTTAGATTTCTCGTCAATTCTTGAGTTTGCTATTATTGTTGCATGATAGAGTAATATATTACATTCAAAGAAGAGTTTCATTTTGGGAAAAAAAATTAGAATGTATGATTATGATAAGGGAATGAATTTTCTGTCAATCTTTAAGAAATCTCAATTCATTGCTAAGAGCAATCTTTTTGAGTGGGCATTTGTTATTTGGATTCAGGATTATTCCACAATTGTGCACATTTCATCGCATAAATTATTCTTTTGCCAGTGCACCAATCCAGAAAGCCATGAATCCATCTCTTTATGAAAAAAAATAACTGACCACAAATTGTCGATATTGCAGAAGCCAGTTTGAATCTCACACAGCTTGTTTCCTAGTGAAACGCTGTGCTTGGCTAATAAGGTCTTAACGAAAAAATTAAAAAATAAAAATAGAAAAGGTCTTAACAAAAAAAAAAGATAAAATAGAAGAGGACTAGAAACTTTTATATCCAAATCAGACTTGGGCTTTTGAAAGTTTAGAACGACCTTTTACTATGGAAGAGATTCATCAAGCAGTATTGGACATATGTGGAGACAAAGCCCCTGGCCCAGATAAATTTACTCTTTTAAGAATACTAGTATGTAATACAAGCTTTGCACTAATGTATATTAAATTATGATATGAGACTAAACATTCAAAGGGCAATTTATTGAGATTTATATTGGTTTTTCTTTCTAAAAGTTTGCATACTTGTATAACTAATAGATGTTTTTCTTCGTAAATGGAAGGTGAACTCGATCGTAGATATGTTCATTTCCTCCAAAGAAAAGCAATATAATCTTCTCTCTCAATTATCACCTGTAAAATTTTATTGATTGCGAGGTATCCTAGTTATTATAATCAAGAAACTGACTCCACTATCAAAATTCTTACTTCCTCTATTTTTTTTTCCTTTTGATTGATTTATTTATTTTTAGTGCATTTGAGCATCCATATATAGTATACTTTTTATGCAACTCTTGAGATCCAAGTGGAATGTTTATGGAAGTAGATGAGTCGTGAAATAATTAGTGCATAATTAATTAAGAGAATTTGATTAGTCTGTGAGAGAAGAAGTTATTATAATCAAGAAACTGACTCCACTATCAAAATTCTTACTTCCTCTATTTTTTTTTCCTTTTGATTGATTTATTTATTTTTAGTGCATTTGAGCATCCATATATAGTATACTTTTTATGCAACTCTTGAGATCCAAGTGGAATGTTTATGGAAGTAGATGAGTCGTGAAATAATTAGTGCATAATTAATTAAGAGAATTTGATTAGTCTGTGAGAGAAGA